TGAAATAGAGCTTAACATCTGATATGTTTATCACAGTACAAAGTAGTGTTTCTTAGGAATGAGAGAGAGCTAAATCTTAGTTTCACTTTCTATGATGACACTTTAAAATAGAGCAGTGAGTGATCCATAAAAGCCCAAAATTTCTCATTTCTTAATTAAACTACTTTACTAAAATATAAATGTGTGTTTACATACAAAGTATGGACAGATATAGGTCATAAAACATGCACATAAACAGATATATGATGGCTATGTAATTCACAAAGGAATTACCCATGTGTTTACATATGGTAAGAATAGAGAACAATCAGGATAGCTATGGCCCCAGTTTTGAATGGGTGAGGCTAGTAGGTATATAGCAAGCAGAATTAAGAGAATAAAACAGCAAGAGAAGACAGCAGACCTTCAGTTCCAACACTATCACCCAGCGGAAACTGACTGAGAAAGACCCAGGGAAAGAGTCAGCTAGAGTTTCTGGTTGAGCTTTTTATTTTTGCATTGATGAACTTCTAAGCTGAACTTCCAGCTTCAGGATCCCACTGTAGGCAGTTTATATTCTGGGATAAACAGCAACCCTGTTGGAAACATAGCCTTCTAACTCCTCTCAAGTGCAAGCGTTGACTCTTGAGCTGTTTTGCCTTCTCTTCCTCCCAGCAGAGTTAGGGATCCAGCCAATCCTGGAACTCATCATGTAGACCATGTTGGCCTAGAACTCACAGAAATCCTCTTGCCTCTGCCTCCTGAGTGGTGGGACTAAAGGCCTGTACCACCACTCCGGCTCAAAATGAAATTTTGAAGATGTGATTCTTCTAGTCTTAGTTGACAACAAATTTGGATATCATAGCATCTAATACAGTTTTAGTATTTATAAAGTCCTCTATGTGCTTGGGGGTATAATAGTTTCAATGGCATATTTTTTAAACTGTACTGTCTTTTGATAACTTGAACAAATTAAGTCAGTATTTCTCACACAATTTATTGCATGTACATATAACATATATACCATATAGGTAATATATAGAATTTAATAAAAAATACTGCACTAACTAGGAATATAGAAATAATGAAAATTTATAAATCTATAGATGTAGACTTATATATAAATGTATATTATTGCATGTATATTATACGTAACATGTATAAGCCAATAGTTGTTATGTATCGTTGCAATATTTTAGTGTCAGTCAGAATTTCTGGCTAATGTTACAGCTTCATTTTGGAGAATGTATTAGTAAAAACCCCTTCCGCTGTTCAACTTTTTCCCTCTTCGACTTGGCCTATGACAGGACCCTGTGATTGGCAGATGTCTCATGGCTTCTACAAAATGTTTGTAGCCCCTCTAATACTTTTACATGTGACAATGGTGATCTACACTGTAGTGAGTTCTAGGACACATCTGAACTTTTAGTGCACACAGCTCTAGTCTTTTTCTACATTCTTTCTACTTGTAGTAGTAGGATCTCTTTTAGACCAGAGAAAATACTCTTATTAAGATTTTGTTTTGAGACAGGGCTTCTCTGTGTAGTCCTGGCTGTCCTTGAACTAGCTCTGTAGACCACGCTGACCTTGAACTCACAGAGAGCCACCTGTCTCTGCCTCCCCAGTCCTGGAATTAAAGCGGTGTGCCATCTCTACACAGCCTTAAGATTTTTATATATTCTTTTTTACCTACCTTAAAGAAACCAAAGGAAAATTATGGAAATGCATTCTAAAGTCTTAGGTTTTCTGTTACATTATTATTTTGTTATATAGAGTGTATGCTATTTGTAGAATTACCAGAGGTTCAGAATGCAAGGTTGAATTTTGAAATGTTTTCTCATTAAAATAGTTATGTTTTATGCAGTTTTATATATTTATTTACTTTTAATTATATTTATTTTATGTACATTGGTGTTCTGCTTGTTTCTATGTGTGTGTGAGGGCATCAGACTCCAAGTGCCCATATGGCAGCTCACAACTGTCTGCAACCTACAGAACCTAAGTGATTATGCCCATCATTTCCACCATTAGCAGCTTCTTTCCTCACTGTAAATACCCCTTTGCATACTATAACATCAGTTCTATTGGAACTGATATTCCATAATGCCAAGCCCTCATTAGGGTTAGAAATCAAAACTACTCCTTTATTTAAAGCCAGAAAACACAAAAACTGGCATTTCAAGCAAAAACAAAATAAATTCAAAGATAGGGAAAGATTTTTATACTAACGATTGGCAAATACATTAAAGACATTAGAAATAAATCAATGACAGTGTATAAACACGTCTTTATGTTATACAATGAAAGCTTAAGTTATCCCTGTCGCTTTACACTGTGCTCTGAAATAGAATTATGCTTGTGGTGCCCTCTGCTGGGCTTCCCACTCACAAAGTCAACATAGCAACAACACTAATAAAATAAAATCAAACTTATCAAGTGAAAAATTATTTTTCGTCCAGGAGCATTTTATGATGAAGATTATATAAAAGTTGTAACTAGCATTTCATCACTTTACCTATTTATCCATTAAGTGAAATTTCAGTCAACATTTCTCTTAAATTACAGACTAAATACAGTTACGTATTTACGAGTAAATGTAGTTACATAAAGCATAAAAGCCTATATGACATGAAAGTAGAGCTGTGTACAGGGCCAAAGGGAACTAACAGCAGAGAAGAGGAGCAGGAAAAAGCTGGGAGGGAAGGAGGAAGGACAACATGCTCAACATATAATATACAAACACTAAAAAGGAACACGTTGCATGAGGACTGGGAAATGACTTGATGGAGAGAACACTTGCCACACAACCACAAGAACATGAGTTCATATCATGAAACCCACATACACACCAGGTGGACATGGCGGACCATCTCTAACTCTAGCTAGCACTCATGGCTCCCTAGAGCAAGCTGGGTAGCTAACCTAGCTGCATGGACAAGCTCAAGAGACCTTGATTCAATGAACAGGCACAGAGAACAACAGAGGGAGGCTGCCGACCTCAACCTCAGGCCTCCACACAATGAATAAAGACATACAACCACACACAAGAATACACACACACACCACACATACCACACAGATGCTCACATGCCAAAAAAAAAAAAAAAAAACCTATATACAAAAAAGCCTAATTTACCTTTTTTCTGTTACTGCATTTTTCTCCTGACAATATTTTCAGGTTCTTAAGACTCTGTTATGATAAAACATTTTAATAAACTCTTTTGTTATTTTTATCTAACTTTCTGGGGTTTTTTTTAGTTCAATCAAAATAGTCCATTTTAAAACATCAAAATAATTCAGTGTCTGAGATGAGCAAATATCACAGAAAGGAAACTAATAAATACTTCCTAAAATAAAAAAATAATAATTCATAGTGTCCTTTTTAACTTACACTTATTCTAAAGTAAAAGTAAAGATTTTTAACAACATAAATTGAACATACTGATAAGCCCTTATAAACACGTTTGAAAAGTACCAGTCACCAGGAGCAAATAAATAAATAGCTTCCACTTATTGAATTTCAATTGTGAGGAACAGAGTTCTATAATGTCTATGAATTATATGTAGTCTTTAAAAGTAAATAAAATTCAAGTTCACAGAGACTACCTAAACTGCTCATTCTGAAATTTCCTACCAAAAAACAGACAGCAGGGAAATCATCCTCAACACACAATTCCTCCACTTCTCAGTGGAACATCTTCAGGGTGTGGATGATGGAGGAAAGTTACAGAGAGTTACTTATATGTAAAATAACAACTTGGAACATTAGTAACTTTTTACTGCATGTAGTGCTGCCAGCTAGTGGCCCTATTTCATACGGAGTCAGGAAAATAATACTAGTTTCATGTTACTAAATTAAAAATTCTGTATTTCACATTTCAGGGTTACGTTCCAACCATGTGTGTGCACAGCGCTGACTTAATGACAGTTAGTATTACCCCAGGTTGTGTCTTCAACCACCATGGCATCGCTAACCAGTCCTTGCCTAGCTCCCCACAAAACTACAACACACACCTAAGTCAGAATTTAGTAAAACTAAAAGATAAACTACAAATATCCATGCAAAAAGAAACCCACACCATTTAAAATATTTTAGAGTAATTTCAGAATAGAACATGTACAGATTCCTTAGTAACAAAACATAACTTTTCCATATAAGCAAGAGCTAACCAAAATGTGGACATAGAACAAAATTAATGTTTATTATTACATATTACTCAATTCACATCCATCCATTTGATAAAACAATAGTATTAGCAAAGTTTATCATTTAAATATAAATAAGTAATTATGGATTTGATGTTTCCTCTGAGGAAAAAAATTGAGTTATTTTTAAATTTGAAATGATCACATTTTAGTATTGATTCATTATTTTGAAAAGTATCCTATAAAACAGCTCAGAAGACACACATATCTTCTAATGTTATTTAACTGTGACATGAATATACTGTTAGCTGATTTCTTTCATCATATGCCATTATTTTAGAATTTATTAAGTACTCAGCAAAGAAACAGATCACCAATTAATCAGAGGCTTAGATGATAATATATAAACAAAAACTTGCATTTTAAGTATAATGACATCATGATGAACATGTCTGGAATGAATCTGTACTGAAAGAGCGAAGAGTAAAGCACTCAGAGCATAACACAGTAGGAAGCAGACCAACAACCAGATTAATGGAGAGATCACAATGGAAACAAGAAAGAGAAGGCACAGTACTGGACAGTCCAGACTTCCTTCTGATCTATAGTCTGTCACACATACAAACACACACATCCATAAAGTTTTGGGAAAAATTGCCATGCTCCATTCAGTATGCATCTTCTATGAGACATATTTTACAGCTAAAGGCACCAAGAGTTTCTAATATGTATGTATATATGTGTGTGCATGCATACACATATATAAGAATATATGTATATATGTGTGTATACATATACATATATATATAAACACACAGCATGTAAAATGAACAGTAGAGGAGCACTGAAGATACTTTAGTTAGTGTATAACTTACAAACATTCCCTGTATTGTCAAAGCTGGTAAGAACGTCTTCCACATTTAACGAGCCACTGTTATGCCTGCAGAGGAACAGAACATTTTATTTAACATTTCTGAAATAATAGCATTTGTAATTCTTTTTTAAATCTAAGAGTATATTGTGATATACCCAATACTAATTAACCATACCATGTTATAATTTTAAAATACTTTCTGGAGAGGACAGGAGCTCTGCAAGGACCAAATATATCAGGGCACAGGGGTCTTTCATGAGACTGTTTCTCCAACCAAGGACCATGTACGGATATAACCTGGAACCCCTGCCCGGATATAGCGCATGGTAGCTCAGTATCCAAGTGGGTTCTCTAGTAAGGGGAACGGGGACTATTTCTGACATGAACTCAATGGCAAACTCTTCAGCACCCCCTCCCCCCTCCCGAGGAAGGAGCAGCCTTGCTAGGCTACAGAAGAGGACAGTGCAGCCAGTCTTGAAGAGACTTGATAAGCCAGGGTCAGATGGAAAGGGAGGAGGTCCTTCCCTATCAGTGGACTTAGAAAGGGGCAGGGAGGAGATAAGGAAGGGAGGGTGGGATTGGGAGGGAATGAAGGAGGGGGCTACGGCTGGGATACAAAGTAAATAACCTGTGATTAATATAAAAAAATAAAAAAATACTTTCTGCCCACTAGAGGGAGAAGGAGGAGGGAAAAAAAAAACTCTGAGAGCATGGTCTTCAGAGTATTTGATGCAATAGCATTTCCTGATTATAATCAACATCTTAAATGCTATAATTTTTTTAAATCACTGCTTAACAGAAAATAATTTATACTTACATACAAGCAATTTCTTAGAGACAGAACTTTTTTTTAATTTCAAAATTTAAAAAAATTAATCACAATCCAGCACCATCCTCAGATCCTCAGCAACACAAAAGTTCTGCTAAAGCAGGTGCAACATTTGCAAACTGGATGCAAAGAAGAAATCAATCACTAGGTCTGCAGACCCACTTACAGGCAGTTCTAAACGTCAGCAGGCAAAAAATGACTCATGGCATTTACCCCTAATCTTAATTCCATCTCTGTTAGCTCTACTCTCTCCTCACTTAGCCCTTCAAATATTGGATTTGATTATTTGAATCTTAATAAGGGATCCAACTAGCAATAGCTGGAGTTAAGTGTTACAATCTTCTGCATGCTCCCTCAGAATTACAGCTGTAGTCACTTTAGGTATTTTCATCATATATAATCATCAATAAGTCTCTAGAAATGCATTTTATCACTACTACTTGAACTTCATCATTAAAGCTTAGTACAAAAATGGGGGCTATATACATATAATTATATATATATCAAGATATATTAGTTTGCTAGAATAACTGTAATTATATATATAAAACAATAAAATACTAATTATATTACCCTTTTTTTAAAAAAAGGAACATTTACTTGTTTATTTATTTATTTATTCGTTTTTTGAGACAGGGTTTCTCTGTGTAGCCTTAGCTGTCCTGGACTCACTTTGTAGATCAGGCTGCCCTCAAATTCACAGAGATCCGCCTGCCTCTTCCTCCCCAAGTACTGGGATACAGGCGTGTACCCCCACATCCAGCTAAGAGCTTTTATTTCTATCATTTCTTTGACAGAATGACTGAGATTGCACGAAGCTGTCTGCAATCAGAAGTAGCCAAATAAACACTGGCCACACAATTATCACAATCCAAATAAATAAAGTGACCATGCACACATCAAAGCTTCCTTATCATATGATGATGCTATAGCCACCTCTGTGAACATAAGGGTCTGGGATACACGAAGTTAATTACACTAACATTACTGAAAACTATAGCACATGAAGTTTTAACCTCTAAGATGCAGGACGTGGTATGACATGGCACAGAACTCAGCATGGTCTAAAATATATGAACAATATATTTTTCCTTTGAAGATAACAAAACATCAAAATCCTAATAATCAGAGATAATCAGTTAAGATTTTAGTACACAGTTCAAATCTGCTCTTACACTTTGATAAAACTGTTTTTAATTTCAACATGAATTTTCAACATCCAATAATCTCCGGCAACATGATCTTAATGATGTTCAGAAGTTCAAAGAGCAACAGTGAATGACTGTGACTGTGACTGCACCACAACACTGAACACAAACTTCATGTTGACGATATCATTGCACATACTCTGGAGCTATTACACATACTACTGTAGTGAAAATAGTTGTAGAATATCTTGTTTCTGATGACTTCCTTACAAAATCTTCCTCAAAAAAAAAAAAAAAATGCCTGTAGCCCAGCATTAGGAAAGGAAAGTTCAAGGCTTTCCTTGAACTTCTTGGCTACACGCAGAGGTTAGCACCAGAGCCAGAGACCCTTTCTCAAAAAATTCCTAAAACCAGAATTTCTCCTCTACCCCTCTCTCTCTTGTTCTTTTGTTTTTTCAATTTGTTTGTTTTTATTTTGGGGGGTTGTTTTTTGTTTTTTTGTTTTTGTTTTTGTTTTTTTTTGAGACAGGGTCTCTCTATGTAGCCGTGGCTGTTCTGGACTTGCTTTGTAGACCAGGCTGGCCTCAAACTCAAAAAGATCTGCCCACCTCTGCCTCTGCCTCTGCCTCTGCCCGGATTATAGGCACACACCACCCACCAAGCCTACTCAGTTTCTTTATGGCCTAATAAAGACATTTTGGTTCCCTCTCCACTCCTCTCCTCTCCCTTTCTTTTTCCTTTTCTCCCTCCCTAGCATTCCCCCATACCTTCAAACAGCACAATAAGGATAAAGCATTTAAAATTAAATCTGAGGCATGTTGCCAGTGGTGGTTTGAATGAAAATGGGCATAGTCCTAGAGGGAGTGGCACTATTAGGAGGTGTGGCCTTGTTGAAAAATGTCTGTCACAAAGGAAGGGCTTTAAGGGTTTTAGATGCTTAAGCCAGACCCAGTGTCACTCCCTCTTCTTACTGCCTTCAGATGGGGATGTAGAGCTGTCAGACACCTCTCTTCCTTCCTGCCACCACGCTTCCATTCACACTGACAATGGCCCAAACCTCTGAACTGCACCCGACTAAACACTGTCCTTTGTAAGAGTTGGCATGGTCCTGGTGTTTCTTCACAGCAATAAAACCCTAACTAAGATACTGTCTAGCAATTTCCTCTGAGATTGAAACATTTGGTCCTGCATTCCTTAAGAAGGAAGGTAAACAATTCAAAATAGCTTTAAAAGTCCCTGAAAAGGACCAGATTCACTAGGCCTCTCCCTGCCAAAGAGTAAGAGGGAGGGAGGGAGGGAGGGAGGGAAGGAGGGAGGGAGGGAGGAAAGGAAGGAGTGATTTGAATAGAAGTCTCTCAGACAAGACAAGCTGCAAAGAAGACTGATTCCAGACCACCTGCCTGGAAGGGTTTGGACCAGCTGAGGCAAGCACCTGGAAAGGACACTCTTCAACCTGTCAAGTTGCATACAAGCTGTGCAGTGTGCTCCAGGCTCTCAGCTTTTGTGAGCTGATACCCATGCTGGGGTGGGCATTGGTGATGTCTTTGAGCCATTTTTGCTCCTGTAAGTAATCCCAATAAAAATCACTGGTTAACCAAAATGAACTTTGGTGCTATCTGTACTTTGGTCTGTCATAGGCTCTCTATCTTGGGTAAGTAGACATGTGTGTATCTCCTCAGGAAAAGTTTTGTCGTACAACATAGTTGGCACCTGAACAAGACAGAACCACAGATGAGTTAGAGAGAAGTGAATGCATGGTTCTAGCTATAAGTAGCAAGGTGTGCAGCGCAGCCAAGAAGCCTGAGTGGGAGCATCTGAGGAGGACATTCTGATAGGTTGGCCTTTCCTGTACGGTGTGTGTGTTAGTGAGACCTCTGCGACAGCAGTTGCATGGCTCTTGCAAAGGTAGTGAGACAGGCAGCTAAGGCTGAGCCATCGGATCAGCAGTGACTGGGAGGACTCCCGGAGTCGACATCTGGGTGGCATATGGGGTGGCATGCCTGCTTGATGAGCAGGGGCCACCACCTGAATATGGAATCCCCCTGAAAACCATTGAAGGTGAGAGGAACTCTTGCAGTCTTTGAGATTAGCACCTCAGAGTCACAACTATCCACAAGCAAGGCAGAGGTTGCCTGGCCTCTGCCGTGTGTAGTCAGAAATGCATCTGAGGCGGAAATGTTTGTGTAAGGGAACAAGCTCAACCAAAAAAGGGAGCTGAGGCAGCATTCTCTGTGTTAGCCTCTGATCTGAGGCTGTTGGATAAATGACAGGATGAGATGAGGTGTTGGCTTGCTGCTGCTTAAGGCTTGAGGGCAGGAGGAAAAAGAAAGTACAAGTTAGATTCATACTCAAAAGCTCGTCTTGGGATCCAAGAACTTGGAAGCCATGGAAAGATTCAGAGAGTGAGGAGAAGAAGAACATGGTAAGGCAATAGAAGATGCCCACAGGTCCAACTTCAATATGAAAAAACTAAGGAACAGTGTAAAATCAAGCATGCAGATGGGGCAAGAAAGTATTGTAACGAGGGAATACTCAGCACCTGGGCTCCTGGAATTGAGGGAGACTTTTTGAAAAGCAAGGAGCCTACTGCAACCTGGCCTGTACGGCTTGTGAGGCTGTGGGACATGGGAGCAGGTGGGAGCAGTCTGCTGTGGAGACAGGAAAACTGAGTAATATGACTCCCCAGCCCTCCTTAAGGCAAAGGCTTCATAACCTGAGACATGAAGGAAATTAGTCCCTAATGGACTGACTTATTAGAGCCATTAGGAACACTTGGTTATCTCCTTCTGAAGACTCCATAAATGCACAGGAGTGGAAAACAATAGAGGAGACATTACTGAGGGAAGTAGGAATAAGAGAAGCTGTGTGTGGACCTCAGTTTGCTGGACTGGACAGAGCTTTGTTCACAGGAGAATTGAGGAAAACATTGATTCAAAAGGGACTGTGCAATCAGTATGAAGCCTTAGTGGCTTTGAGGAGCCCCATAAAGGGACAGTGGGATCTTTACAAAGTACAGAGGCTTTGGCAGCTCTTGGTGACTCACACTAGCATGTAAAGAGTGACTGTGAGTGAGAGAGCAATCTAGAGGA